CCCCACCCCCCTTCACACCCAGAGACCCAGCCCCGGGCGTCCCTGGCGGGAGCGGAGGCTGCGCGGACCGGCCCTCACCCTTGGGGGCCGGCTGTAGCCTGACCGGGTGCCCTGGAAACTTTCTGGAACTCGTGTCACTCTCTGTCGAGTCCCAGTGTCTCATGCAAGGGTTAGGCTTGTACACGCTTATTTCTAACGTGAAGTGCACGAGTCTCTGGATGCCTGCGTGTCGAGATTAATGCCGATCGGGTGCTCGGGGTCGTCGTACCCGGCGGTAGCAAGAGCTCGATGAGTGGTAACTGTTGAGGTCTCCCGACAGTGCCGTGCTGTGTGTGGCCTGGAGGGTCCTGCTGCTGCTGCTGCTGCTGCTGCTGCTGCTGCTGTTGTTACTGAGCCTAGGGCGTCTGGCAGGCTTAGCAAACACTGTAACCCCTGTCTGTAACCCCCAGTCCTCCCCTCCCGCTGTTCCCAGATTCCGATAGCCAAACTCTAACCGCACACGTACTGGTAATTATCAGATTATTTGCCCAAGTTGGTAACTGAAGCCGGCGTCTTCAGTTGCGTTTCATGTTCATGGACTGGAGAGCTTAAATCCTTCCAAGTAAAACTGAGAGGAGCATAATCTGTTGAGATGTTTGCATTTCTTATTTGTTTTGGTGGTATCATTTTAGGTTTGGTTGTGACAGGGTCTCACTATGCAGCCCTGGCCGGCCTCCTGTGTTGTAGACCAGACTGGTCTCAAAATCACAGGGATCTGCCTGCCTCTGCCTCCCAAGTGCTGGAACTAAAGACAGGGGGCCACCATGCCCAGCATTTGGCAACATTTTCTTAAACAGCTCAAGTTGTCATTGTTCCAGAACATTATACTTGGCTTATTTTTCATTTTCTGATCCTCCTTTGTTTTTTGTGATGTATTTATGTGTTCATTTACTAACTCAAGTAATATAATTTTAGTAATAAGCTTGGTTGCCTGAAAACAGGTTTTAAAATAATAAAAAGGTCATCCGTAGGTTTATAGTCCAGCTGGTGAGAACGGTAAAAATAGTCCAGGCGTCCGACAAAGAAAGTGTCAGCTGTCTGCCTATTGTAGGCACCAGTGTTAACAGGAGAGAGGGAAGGAATAGTAACAGAGAATACCATGAGGGGTTCCATGGTAACCGTCGGTGGCAATATTTGAATGGTTTCTGTATGCCAAGCACCCACCTCTCTCTGCACTTTGTGTGTGCCATCTTGATTAACCTCCAGTGACATAGGTAGCAGCTGAGGAGCCTGAACCAAGAAAAACAAGGTCACCATCCAAAGATAATACAGCCAGTCAGGCTGAGGTGGCCTGGGAGAGTGACCGGTGCTGCTGCTAGCAACTGAGTGCCTCTGCTTTCCACTCAGTGCTGTTTTCTCTTGCAGCCGTCAGGGAAACTGTCCTCTTGTGCAAAATGTACAGAACCAAAGTGGGCTTGAAGGACCGCCAACAGCTCTACAAGCTGATCATTAGCCAGCTGCTCTACGACGGCTATATTAGCATCGCCAATGGCCTCATCAACGAGATCAAGCCCCAGTCGGTGTGCGCACCCTCCGAGCAGCTCCTGCATCTCATCAAACTAGGTAAGCTACGAGTGTGGATCCATACATCCCAGAGTGACAGGGTAGGTGTTTTCCCGGGAGGTTTTTGAGGTTATTTCTGTGTAATTTCGATGTCTAGTGTGTGCCAAGTCCAGTGTTGGGTACTGAAGAGGTAGGTGAAGTCCAAGTGATGAAATTGGTTCAGGGTTAATGTATTTGTACAGCACATCTGGACACTTCCTTCAGGTGTCAGGGGCAGTTGCTCTCTCACCCCTTTAAAGCTAATTCTTCTGTCCTCCCCAGATTCCTTTGCTTGGTTACTCGGTCACAGTGTTCCGTTTCCCTCTTACAAACTATCTGAAAGTTGCTTTGTTCTTTGAATCATTTCCACACGTTCTCCACCTTCCCACTCCCTACTCACCGAAAGACCAGAATCTCTGTCAATATCAGGACCTTGTGTTGGTCATTGGTATTTCCTGGCACCCATACCCTCAACAGGGTTTTGAATTACCCAGCTGGGTCTTTGTGTCACTCCCAACATTTGGGAAGTTTGTTTAGTTTAAAGTTGCTTTCAATCAGCAAGTGGACACACATACACACACTTTATTCTGGGTTGGAATGGAAGCTTACATAACAACAGATGTGTTCACAAAAGATATCACCACACAGAGCACATTTATTCCCTTGACCTGATAATGTCACTTGTGAAACTGTCCTAAGGAGGAAATGGTAAATTAAAATGTTCCTCAAACAGAAATTTTAAGTATTTTTAACTTTAAATTTAAGGTTTTGATTCTAGATATCCATAAAAGTGTGTAATGTTGAAGCAGTACAATGTTGAAGACTTGTGCTGATGATTTTTTTTAAGTGTTTAAACAACCAAGCAAGTCCCAAGTTATAGCACAAGCCTGCGTATGTGTTGAAAAGCAAGAGCTGTGTGCACAGGAAGAGCCCACAAAAGTTCTTCATGTGTTTCGATTCCTCCTGTAGCAGTCACAGTTATTGTTCATGTGATATATATGAGGTTATTTTTTAAATCCAACTCTTTCTTGTTAAGGGTCTTTTTGAAGAGTGGCTTTTATTTTTTATTATTATTATTATTACTACTTTTTTACTGTTTTGAGTGTTTGGGTGTGTGGCCTGCGTGTATGTCTGTGCACTGCATGTGTGCCATGCCCCTGGAGGGCAGAAGAGGTGTTAGAGTCCCTGGGACTAGAGTTGCAGACAGTTGTGATCCGCCATGTGGGAATTTAACCACATCTTTTGAAAGAGTAGTCCAAGCGATTAACTGTTGAGCCATCTCTCCAACCTCTGTGTTTTATTTTGTTCTGATTTTTTAGGTGTATTTTATGTGTGTGAGTTTTGCCTGTATGTATACCATGTGCATGCCTGGTGCCCACAGAAGTCAGAAAAGGCCATCCAGTCTCCTAGAACTGGAACCATAGATGGTTATGGTTCACCATGTGGATAGTGGGAACTGAACCTGAGGACAAGGACTCTTAACCACTGAACCACCTTTCCAGCCTCCTTTTTTGTTTTGGAGACAAAGTTTCATTTTGTAGCCCTGGCTGGCCTAGAACTTACTATGTAGACTGGCCTCAGCTCACCTGCCTCTGCCTCCCATGAGAAATGGAGTTAAGGTGGGCTCCGTCGTGCCCAGCTTTTTGTTTACCTTCTTGCTTGTTTGAGATCCGATCTCTTGTCTCCCAAGCTACCTTAAACTCTATGTAAGTGAAGTGAATCTTGAACTCACGATCCTCCTGCCTCAGCCTTCAAAGTTCTGATGTCACAGGCAAGCATATTATTTATAAACTTAAGCATGGCATTCTTTGAAAGCATTTCACTCATGTCAGGCGTGTAGCTAATTCACACCAAAACTGCTACTAACTGATCACAGCCCTAAAGATTAGAATTCAGAGCTGGAGACACAGCTCAGTGACAGGGTATCTGCCTGGCAGGTGTGAGGCCCTAGGTTGTCCTCAACACCATAAAATAAGCAAAGTGTCCTTTTCCCATTCTAAATGGGGAAAATAAATTAAATTGCTACTGTTTTTATTGCATTTTATAGGTGTTAAAAAGTGAATTTGGCTGTGGAAGTATACCTTTCCACAACCCATTCTGCCTGCAGCAGTGTGCATATTTACATAGGATAGGCAGGGTGTGTGATTTGTCCAACATTTGGTGACATTGGTAGACATCGTTCTCACTTTAGATCCAGAAATGGTCTTTGAATTTAACAGCTTTTCTCATGCTCTTAATTTTGATTCCTTCAGGGATGGAAAACGATGACACTGCAGTTCAGTATGCAATTGGTCGCTCAGATACAGTTGCACCTGGCACAGGGATTGACCTGGAGTTTGATGCAGATGTCCAGACAATGTCGCCCGAGGCTTCCGAGTATGAAACCTGCTATGTCACTTCCCACAAAGGCCCATGCCGCGTGGCCACCTATAGCAGAGATGGGCAGTTAATAGCCACAGGGTCTGCTGACGCTTCCATAAAGATACTGGACACGGAGAGAATGTTGGCCAAAAGTGCCATGCCCATTGAGGTACCACTGCTCCAGACAGCGCAGCTGTGTGCTCACCAGCTCTGGTTTGCCCCGAGGGACTGGGGGCTTAGACCAGCTGCCTCTGTACCTTGAGCATCTTTCTCTCCTTTTCTTGTTGGTCCAGGTCATGATGAATGAGACTGCACAACAGAACATGGAGAACCACCCAGTGATTCGAACTCTGTATGACCACGTGGATGAAGTCACGTGTCTTGCTTTTCACCCTACAGAACAGATCCTGGCCTCGGGCTCAAGGGATTATACTCTAAAATTGTTTGATTATTCCAAACCGTCTGCAAAAAGAGCCTTCAAATACATTCAGGTTAGAGACTAGAGGAGCACATGACTTCTTTTTAGATGAGATATTTTATGGCTATTTTCTTAAGTTTCGGGTATTTTGTGACCATTTTTTTCCAGGTGGTCTCATTGATCACCCTATAAAGGACATGCCCTGGGTGGCACTTAGAGCAAACTCTGTTGGTATATGGGTCACAGTTGTCCTCTGCCCAGGTAGGACAGCAGACTAGCCAGGCATAGTGGATCACACTAATCCCAGTATTCAGGAGACTAGGCAGGAGGATTGTCACAAATTCAAGGCTGCCTGCTTCATAGTTGGTTCCTTGCCTGCTTGGGCTATATATCAAGGGGCAGGGGATGGGTCGCTTTCATGACACTGTGGGTTCAAGCCTAGGGACTGGGAAAAAACAAAACCAAAACAAGCAAAAGCCTACCTTACCTAAAAGCATACCTTACAGCCACCAGAGTTCCCTGTTGGAACTGTTGAGTGTCCCAGAAAAGCGACCTGTGGTCCCCTCTTGGGTCTGCGTTGCAGAAATGCTCGTGTTTTCAGAAGCAGCCTCCATCAGGCATTGGCTGGCTTCTCCTTAGTATTTGCTGCCCCAGGGTGGATTCGGAAAGCTGTTTGATCTCTGGCTGTGAGTGCAGCTCCCTTAATCCATTTGCAAGGGTCCATCTGATTTCATCCCATGTCCACTCGCAAGTGAAGCTCCGGTCTGGTTTTAGGAATAACGGATGAGGAAATAGTTTTCTGCATCCCGGGACGTGCTCTTCTCCTGCGGCTTGCTGGGTCAGGTGCTGGTGACTGACACTGTGCCTCTGTCCTCACAGGAAGCTGAGATGCTGCGCTCCATCTCTTTCCACCCTTCAGGGGACTTTATCCTGGTTGGGACTCAGCATCCTACACTCCGCCTTTATGATATCAACACCTTCCAGTGTTTTGTCTCGTGCAATCCCCAAGACCAGCACACTGATGCCATCTGTTCCGTTAGCTACAACCCTAGCGCCAACATGTATGTCACCGGCAGCAAGGACGGCTGCATTAAGCTGTGGGATGGCGTGTCCAATCGTTGCATCACAACCTTCGAGAAAGCTCACGATGGCGCAGAAGTCTGTTCTGCCATCTTCTCCAAGAATTCCAAGTACATCCTCTCGAGTGGAAAGGACTCTGTAGCTAAGCTCTGGGAAATATCCACAGGGCGGACGCTGGTGAGGTACACAGGTGCGTGAGAAGGTGGTGCTGGGATTTCTCGGGGATCAGATTCCTGAGGAGTGAGCTACACTGGAGGAAAGGGGTTCCTAGCAGACGGGAAGAAAAGAAAGCTCAGTTCCCCGTTAGTCCCTGCTAGTCTCTAGTTTGTAGCAGCTGTGCCCATGGGCGCCTTTTATGGTGAGTCTTGAGTTTGCCAGTGTGGCGCTCAGTTGGGTCTGGGTACAGTGAGTGCTGTGTGCTGCTGCTGCACCTTGTTGTGTTCCACAGCACCCAAGAGTGCTGTTTGATAGGAGCCTCCCGGGAAGTTCTGCTGCCTACCTCTTGCAAGATGTGTGTGTCTCACCACACTAAACACACCGAGGTGGTAGCTTTCGGGGAGCCAGTGTTGTAAGGCACTCTCTGAGTTAGCATCTTGGAGAGGAACATGAAAGAGCTGGTGACATTCAGGCCACTAGGGTGCAGCACATTTCCCCTCTGTGTGGCACAAGCTAATTGCCTAAAGAGTCGCTTTTGTCATAACCCTTGGTAACTTTATGATATTTTATGTGGTGTCATTTTGGAAAATAAAACCAGGTGTTCCTTGCATGCAGAAGCAATGAGAGTGAGCGTGAAAATGCTCTGCTTACAGGTCAGCCCCTGCTGCTCTCCAGGGGATGATGTCCGATGTCCTGGGACAGACATGCACCGGACTGCTACCAAGAGCTGAGATTTTTGTGAGCACCTAGAGTGCGGTTTATTGGCAATTTTGTTTTTTTCCAAAGGACTGTATACATTACTGATTTCCTAATTCCCAAGTCAGCACCCTGACAGTCAGCATGTCAAGGTTCCCATTCTGGTTTTAAGATTTCCTTAGAATGCAAAGTGGTTTTGAATAGCAATGGAAAAGGGAAAACTGAAGGGGACATTGGGTTGTGTTAGTTCATCGTGTTTTTTTATGTGGTAGACAGGTCAGTCATCTTACTGTGTGGATAGGCTATGGATAGATCAGAAAAAGATGAGCCCAAATTTATAAGAAAAGAGCCAAAATTTGTAGTATTTCATAAAAGAAATTAAAATGGAAAATGAGTTCTAAGATGAGCAGTCTTACTGTAAAGCAAGAAGTAGAAGTGGGGACATCTTTTTTAGCACATCAAACCATCTCTAACTCAAAGGACTGTTGTTGTTTTATTGGTGAAAGTCTGCACATTTTACTGATGGCTCATTTGGTAAATATCTCAGAAAGATAATTTAGTGTCAAGTCAAAATTTTAAATTTGTGGTTTTTGTCACACTCTTACAGGTGAGTCCCTGTGCTTTCATACAGAGTGATGTCTGTCACCATTACTGGGAGTCAATGGACGTTAGGGACTTATGCAAATTAGAAGCCAGAGTCCACTGCAAAACACTGAGTGGGTCTGCCCTGCACCTGTTGCTCCATGCAGCCTTTGCAGAGGAACACTTGCATGGCGGGGCTTGTGTGTCTTGTGTTTTAATCCTCAACACCCTTGTGGGTAGGTTCCAGAGGTGAAAAAAGGAAAGTTTGAATTAGGACGTCATCTATACCCAAAGCCAAGGCCCCTCAGGAGTGTACACCTGCTAACTATGAAGGGTGTGTTTTCCTCCTAGCCATGTTCCTCTTACAGGTCTACACTGCAAACTCTTGAATGAAAGGAGCACGTGACCGCTAGTTTCTGCAGTTGGAAGTGCAAGGGTATTTGGGAGGCCATCCACCAAAATATAGCCTCATTAAGTAGTGAAATGCCCTGACTGTTTTACTCTTCTATACATTACCTGGTATTTGCAACATTCTTTGGTAGACACAAACTGAATGCCCAGCAGCAAGAATCATTAGTGATGCCAGACAGTGCCCAGCACCGTGGGTCTAAACTACCGTAGGCGATAAGTAGCATAGCACCAGGTTGGTGCCTGCAAGTGCATGAAAGTGAGCAGTGGCCCCGTGGGTAGCCCTGGAGGCGACAGTGTTGGCAGTGCTGCAACATGGAGAGGGTGTGAGGCTAACATGTTGTTTGTATGACAGGCGCGGGTCTGAGTGGACGGCAGGTGCACCGGACACAGGCTGTGTTTAACCACACTGAGGACTATATTTTGCTGCCGGACGAAAGGACCATCAGCCTCTGCTGCTGGGACTCTAGGACAGCTGAGCGCAGAAACCTGCTGTCCCTGGGCCACAACAACATCGTGCGCTGCATCGTGCACTCGCCCACCAACCCTGGCTTCATGACGTGCAGTGACGACTTCCGAGCTCGGTTCTGGTACCGCAGGTCCACCACTGACTGAGCTGGCCCCACTCCAAGGGTTCTCGTCTCAGGGTTCTGTCCTCCTCCCTGTGTCCTGCCGCCGCCGGCCGCAGTAGCCAGCAGTTCATACCATCTGCTGTGGTGTGCGGCCGCCTGGCTCCTGCCTTGGATTTGGACGTGGAAGCTCTTTTTTTACCTTGATGTAGAATTGTGGTGGGAAAAGTTGGAAACAGACCTGTGCACATTGTCCTGTTGCAGTGATTTCAGTGTGGTCACCACCAGCTGAGTGCAGGACTTGCCATGGCTTTCGGCTCTTGTGCCTGGAGAAGGACAGAATATTGAAGTACTTCGTGGCCCTCAGGGGAGTCTCTCACAAAGACTGCCATCAGGTTCTTCTGTCACCTCTTGAGCCTGTCCTGCCCCCTCTGTATCTCCTTCTCAGATGCATTTCGACACATGAGGAGGTCTGCAGCTCTGGGGACCTCTGGTTTTGTGCCCTTGGAACCACCTTGCAGGGACCCCAGTCCCATCCTGAGGTGATGTCATCCTGGTAATAAAGCTCAGATCTATGACCTCACTGTTCCTTCTTCTTCACTTCCATAAATCTAGGGTTTCTAAAGCCCTGTCTGCATCCCTGCAGCATCCTCTTGGTACCAGCTATGCTCATTGATATGAACGGTGACTGTCCCATCAGCCCAGTGAAGCAGGATGATCAGGAGATCAGGGCCTGCCTTGGCTAAATAGCCAGTTTGAGACCAGCCTTGGCTAGGCCCGCCTTTAATCCCAGCTCTCGGGAGGCAGAGGCAGATGGATCTCCAGGAGATCCTACCCTGGACTACATAATGAGTTCCAGGACAGCCAGAACTACATAGTGAGGCCTCGTCTCAAAAAACAAACAAAATGGATGGTAATGATTTACTGGGATATATAATCAAAAATTTATCCAGTCTCTTAAGCCCCAAGAGCCTGCTAATGTCCCAAGCTGACAGTAACTTGTCACCTGGGTGCACAGGGAACACTCTTTGGGGCTTTCGGCAACAGTCTGGTGCATCTGTCTCCAAGTGTCCAGGAATCTGACGGTGTCTCTCTGTGTCTGTCTGATGTAGGTGAACCAGCCCTGTGAGCGTCTCTTACTAACAAAGTTTGCTCTATTTCTCCTGAAGAAAAATCCCAGGGACCTGGAAGCAGTGTGAGATCACTGATAAAGTAGTGGCTAGGCCACAGTGAGTCGTTGCTGTGTTGTGGGGACTCTGACACAAACATTCCTTCCAGCCTCACCACTAAGGGGTGGGGGGGGCACTGGGTTTGGGGTCGCAATCCTGAAGAGCTGTATTTTTGTGCCCACAGTAAGTGTAAACTTACACTTTTATTTTGCATTCTTATTCTCCAGTATTTGAACATGGCCACCTGGGGGCGCTACCCATAAGATTATAAGAAAGCCACTAGTTAGGGACAAGGGCAGTCACTCTATCCACCAGCTCCCCACTTGTTCCTCTGACTTCCCTGTTGCTTTCAGGCTGCGACACTACAGAGCAGAGGCTCACCGCCTCTCTTAGCCTCTGCACTCCAGCCAAGCTGCCAGGATTGTACGCATCACTTGTGAATGAAAACAGGAATGCCGCTTCGTGCAGTCCTGGGCTAGTCTCAGTGGCTGTGGTTTCAGGACTGACATTTACAAGATCAAAGTTCTCTTCTCTGTTTCCAAAATAGTTTCCTCCCCTCCCTCTATCCCTTCCGCTACCCTGCTTTTTAACAGCCGGTGTAAATGTCAAGACTGTCGCACGAACTTGGTGTTTACATCTTGACAGTTGTACTGCATCACACCCCAGCATTTATACCTGGTCAGATTAATCTATGCCTTCTGTGTTGTTTTTAAAAGATGCGATTTCTAAAATAAACTTTTTTATATAATGGTAACGTAAAGCTAGTTTGTGTTTTTGGAGATTGCCGTGAGCCTTCCCACACTTGAATGGCAGTTCTTAAGCCATAATGGTGGGCGGGGCATTTCACAGCGTGGCACTTGTGCTAGGGTCCTAGCTGCATTCTTGCAGGCTCTTTCCTCTGCTGAACAGAAAGGACTTGGTATAGTTCCCTTCCTTCAAATCAGTTCAAGGAAACTTTTTGCTTTGTATCTCGGTATTCTTTAGAAAAGCAATATGGGAGAGTCTGGTCTCAGCTCTGGCCCTGACTTGATAGGTAGTGGAGGTAGCCAGTGCTGTGGGAGGAGAGTCCCTTCGGTGTCCAAAGGCTTTCAGCTCTATTCTCCAACCAACTCTTGAGCGAGTGGAGTTTGTTTGAGAGTACTGTGGTGTACACAAGCTCAGGGATAAAGGACAGCATTTGCTCTCAGGAAGATTTGTGAAAGTGAATGAGCCCTCCGGAAACCCTTGAGTTCAAATGTGAGCAGAATTTTTTTTTTAAGATGTAAATGGTACAGCTAGCAAGAAAGCAAGAGAAACAAGAAAACACGCAGAGATTAGCAGTGTTGGAGCCAGCAGACTCAGCATTCTTTGTTGTGATTTAAGTTCCAGAAAGTAAGATTGACACCACCACCACCCCCCCCCCCATAACAGACGAACCTCACAAAAAATGGGCATGTCTGCCCTAGCTTGGGAGTTTACAGGAAGAGCAGGATGGTGCAGTGGGGAAGGTCTCCAAGAGCCAGCCTTGTGCAAGCTGTACCTCAAACCCACATGGAACTGTGGAACTGTTACCACTCAAAAACCCCTGGGAGAAAGTCAACTGAGAAATTGAAAGCTGTCTCCAATAGGAAAGCAGCCACAAGTGCCTTACAGAGTCTCTAGGAGAGAACATATCTGAACCCCAGGCCTCGATTCTCCCAGGTGACAGGATCGTGAGCTCACTCTCAGGATATATGAGGACACAAGCCAACCAGCAAACACCAACAGACGTGTAGAGTTAGGATCATCCATGTAAAATATGTACAAGTGTGGATTATGTCCAAAGAGCCAAGACAAAGTAAACTGGGAGCTAGAGATGTAGCCCAACTAGTAGATTTCCTATCCCAGGTTCCCTCCCTGGCGTCACATGAACCAGGCTTGGTGGCACATACTGCAGCCCCAGCACTTGGAAAAGGGATACGACCTCAGATGTTCAAGGTTACCCTTGGCTGTGTAGAAGTTGAAGGCCAGACTGTTCCAGAAGTAAAAAGCCTGCGTAGTGCTATACTTGTGTAACCTCAGCAGCCTAGCAGCTCGGGCGGAAAGATTGCTGCGGATCCAAGGCCAGCCTAGGCTCTAGTCAGTTCTCAGCAGCCAAGAATGTGTGTGTGTGTGTGTGTGTGTGTGTGTGTGTGTGTGTGATTTGTTCATTGGTGTTTTGCCTGCATTTCTGTCTGTGTGGACCCTTGGAACTGGAGTTTTACAGTTATGAGCTGCCATGTGGATACTGGGAATTGAACCCGGGTCCTCTGGAAGAGCAAGCAGTGAGTGTTCTTAACCACTGAGCCATCTCTGCAGCCTTCAAAACTGTCTTAATAGCAGGAAAATGAATAAAACGTGAGGAAAACTGCGCAAATTAACCGTTACTGCTGCTTCCTCACATTGTGTGTTTTTGTCCTTTCTCTGGGTTTTTCTCCCCTAACTCTGGGTGCGTATTTCAACTCCTTCCTGAGGCCACTTTTCCAGGCATCTCTTAGCCGGATGACACCTATCCACCATGACAGCTACCAGCCTGTGACAGTCATTTTCTGTCCTTGTTCTTGTGCAGTCAATAAGCAGCCTTTTCCTGCAGCCCTTGACCCTCCCCACCCCTACCCCTGCATTTAGCAATCCGTTTTTTCAGTTTTTATGATTCCTTTTCCTCAACCCTCCCAAATTGAGAGACGTGGGCGGGGGGGAGGTTCATGCTCTCCTTCCATCATGGGATCTGAGGATCTCAGGGCACCAGGCTTGTGCCACAAATGACCTTACCAAGCCACTTCTCCCTCCCTACAGTCTGAGACTAAAAGGTCTTAACCATCTGTACTACACACACTGTGCTCCGCTGTCTTTACAGACCAGGCACTGAGCATTCAGCGTCGGAATACTACCAAACCCAATGAGCTTCACAGCCGAGGGCTGGTGTGGAAACTGTTGGTGAGCACTGAACACAACTGGCTTTCTTAAGACACATAGTAGAACCCTGTAGAAACGAAGTGAGCAAACCCACTAATGCCATAAAAGAAAAGAGTCCAAAGTCCTGTTCTCTAATGGCATGTGCCTGTGATCACGGCACTCGGGGGGCTGAGGCAGGCAGATTGCCACGACTCTGAGGCCATGCTGGACTGAGTAGTTCCCGGCTAGCCTGAGCTAGGGTGAGGCTGAGGGAAGACGAAAGTACTGTTTTGGAGCATCGAGCATTGAGGACATGGCTACAGGATGGATGTGGCAGCATGTTTGTAATCCCAGCACCCGGGAAGTGGAGGAGGCAGGAAGGTCAGGAGGAAGGTCATCATCTGGTGTGTAAAGTTCAAGGCCAGCCTGGGCTAAGGGAGATCTTATCCCAAAAAATACATACAAGAGAAACCCAAGGTCTCCCCACCTCAAGGTTCTTAGTTCAGAGTGTCGGCTTCAGACCACCAGGTATTTTGACAGCACCCAGTTTCCCAGAATAGCCTGTTGTCACAATACATACTCATCAGTCTCGACGGCCTTAAAGTGCAGGCAGATTGCAGCAAAGTAGCTAAGACGCCTTCCCAGACCTTCCATTCATAAAATCAGACAGATCAAACCTGGGACCAAGAAGTCAAATGTGTTGACAAAATCACCAACCTAGCCTTCTAGTAGGAGGTAGCCCAACCCATTTCTTGGCCAGATCCCATTTGTTCGGCATCTAAATGAGTTTTGATTTTGGTCTAGGCTGAGCTCTCTAGAACATATCACTCACAGCATTGTATTTGTGCCATGAACTTGAGACACCCTTCAGTGTGGGGAAGGAGCACCCCCAGGAGCTTGGCAACGGGATAGGAACCAACTTTCAACTTGAGTTGCTATGGCATCATCCTTCTCAGCTTCAAATCCTGTCATAGTTACTTCCCTGGGACCTGCAGCAAGTGTGTCCTTCCCTTCGGTTTTGTGAGACAGGGTCTTTCAGTGCTGTGTCTAAGTTTACACTCAAATATGCATCAGATGTGGGACATATTCCCCCTTTACCTCCCGGCCCTTCCTTCCCCCACCCCCACCCCCCCTTCCTCTGCTCCCCTCGGCCCACACAGACAATTCTATGCTTTCATTGTGTGTGTAAATGATTTTATATATCTATATAAAACAAATGAGAGAAAATGTTTCTCTTTCTGAGACGATCTTAATTCACAGTGTGATTATCTATTGAATCCATTGTCCTGCAAATGGTATAATTTCATTCCCGTAATGACTGTAAAGAATTTCCTGTTCATCCTCTGTTGTTGGGCAAGTACATTGGAGCTACCATGGACAGTGGCATGCACACAAACATACACACACACACACACACACACACACACACACACACACACCTCTATGACATGTTAACTTAGAGAAATTTTGGGTAGATACCCAAGAGGGTCCTAGCTGGGTCATGTGGAAGACGTAGTCTTGGTTATTTGAGGGGCCATGCTGACTTCCACAGTGGCTAGACTACCTTGTATAGGGGTTCCTTTTGTCACATCTCCCATTAACACTTGTCACTTGTTTTGATGACTGCCACCTTGACTGGGGTGAGATTGAATTTGGGGTACCTTTGGGGTGCATTTCTCTGAGGGTTGACTGGTGAAACTTGGACATTCTTTTCAAGTTTGTTGGCCATTTATGTTTCATTCTTGAAGAACTCTGTCCAGTTTGTTGACTTGGGTGGTTTGGTTTCTTGTTTTGTGTTTGAGTTCTTTGCATATTCTAGACACTAGTCCTGTCAAATGTTTAGCAGAGATTTTTCTCCGTGTGTACCTGCATACATGCATTCATGCTTGTGTGTGGCTACGTGTGTGTGTGTGTGTGTGTGTGTGTCTGTCTGTCTGTCTGTCTGTCTGTCTGTCTGTGTCTTTTGAGATTTTCCTGTCTACTGAGTGCTGGGATTTTAGCCATATGCCACCATACCTAACTCTTCTCCCTTTCTGTAGACTGAGGAGATGGGGTCTCACTAGTAGTTCAGGGTTACTCTCAAGTGCTGGGATTATAGACACATGCTGCCTTGCCGAGTCTCTAGGCACATGCCACCGTGTCCAGACTCCTCCTGGTTTTTATTATAGGGAATCGCAAATGTTTACTGAAGTCAACAGTACAATAAAGCTGTGGTTGCCAGGGTCTGGGAGAGGAATGTGAAGAAAGACAGCTAATGGGAATGGGGTTTCTCTTCAGGGAGATGAAATTTGCTTAAGTTAAGGGTGATGGTTTTACATCTCTAAATATACTTTTAAAATCTGATTTTTTTTTCTCCCTAAAAAAGTGAATTTGGGGGCTGGAAAGATGGCTCCACAGCTAGAAGCACTAACTGCTCTTCCAGAGGACCTAGGTTCACTGTCCAGCACCACCTACAATGCTGCTAACAAATGACTGTAGCTGTAGTTCCAAAGGATCTGATGCCCTCTTCTGGCCTCTGTGAGCACTGCACACACATGATGCACAGATAACACCTACAGGCAAAGCATCCACACATGAAATTAAAATCTTAAAGGTAATTTTATGGCACCTGAGTTACATCTACATAGAGAGAGAAGGAAGGGTGGGAAGAATGGTTGCTTGGTTTGTTGGTCTGAGACAGGGTCTCATTGTGTAGCCCAGACTAGCCTGGAACTCACTGTGTGTTCCAAGGCTGACCTCAAACCATAGCAATTCCTGCTTCGACTTCCTGAGTGTTTGAGTTACATCTGTGAACCACCATATCTGAGTTGGTTTCTTCATTCTTTAAAAAACAAAAAGTCTAGGGCTAGAGAGAGAGATGGCTCAGCA